GATCCTCCCCCCTTTTTCTACCTTGACCCCTTTTTTTTTTTTTTTTTTTTTTTTTTTTTTTTTTTAAAGTCTGCTTCATTTGGATCACGTGTAAGGAAAGAAAGGTCATCACAGACAATGAGGAGATAGCAGAATGACGAGATAGCTAGAATGACATGACATACATTACATAGGAAACCTTTTTAAAAAAACAATTGGAAAAAGAAGGGAGTGCCTTTGGACAACGTCTTCCCTGTGTGGCTAATTGGAAGGGATCTTTTCAATTGGATGACTGGGTGTGAAGACTTAATACTTCCCCATGTTTGTAAAGGCACTGACATTTATGTCTATCCAAAGACTTGGTAGAACATCTCCCTCTGCTTGGGTGTTTCTAGACATATACCACTGGATGGTGAAGCATCATTTTAACACAATTTAAAGTCATTCTCTTTGGCTTTAACTCCAGGAGTTCTGAGGACAATTTGTCTTAGCTAGGTAATAATGCCTCGAGGCTGCACAACTGATTCTTCCTGCTACTCAAGATCTCTCTTGGCCTAACAACAGAAGAGGAAAGATGTGCAGGAGAAGATATCTTTGGAAATGATTTATCTCCCATCTCTTGATAATCAAATGAGCTTTGGAAAGTTAGAAAGACCATTGACCTGCCCTTTATGACATTAGCTGTTTCACCTACTTTCTGGTGCACAGAAGAATAATCGCCTAGCCTTCCAGTCCACTTGTATAAACTGAACTGGACAGCTTTGAGACCAAGCTGGCACAGGAGGACGCTGGAGCCTGATACGTGTATGTGTGTGTGTGTGTGTGTGTGTATCTCAGAATTTCTTGCACTTTTCAAAGAACTGGGTGCAGTTCAAAAAGTTCAAATTTTGGGACGTATGTTTACCATAATGGCTATGTTGCTGGACTCCCACATAGTCGACCGTGGTTTTAGTCCCAGACCAGGTGGCTTAAAACTCACGCCGGGCACGTGTGCGTGCGTGCCCAAGATCCCGAGAGGAGAATGGAGGAGAAGGGATTGTGGCGTGGCCATCCCCTCGGCGGGGGAGGGGGGGTGATTTCTCACTTTCTGTCTCTCTGTCTCTCTCTGTCTGGCGAGCGCAGGCGCCCTATAGCAAAAACCTCTCCAAAAAAAAAAAAAGTTCAAATTTTGAACTTTTGCTGCTGGGATATTCCCCACGATTAGGGGCAATGCCAGCCAGCACTGGTTAAAATTCACCAAGACAAGCCATTTCATGGACAATGTCTGCCCAGTTAGGCTCACTCCTGATTTATTTTTCGATGGAAATACATATTAACTACAATTCATCTAAAGAGTACTGGAGGGGACCAGCAGTTAGCATAATGGCTATGTCGCTGGACTCCCATGTAGTCGACCGTGGTTCGCGTCCCGGACCCGGTGGCTTAAAACTAACGCCGGGCGCATGTGCGTGTGTGCCCAAGATCCCGAGAGGAGAATGGAGGAGAAGGGATTGCAGCGTGGCCATGCCCCCTGGGGGGTGATTTCTCACTTCCTGTCTCTCTGTCTCTCTCTGTCTGGCGAGCGCAGGCGCCCTATAGCAAAAACCTCTCCAAAAAAAGAAAGAAAAAAAAAAGAGTACTGGATAATTTTCCATGTTGATAATTTAGTATAACTTCCAAGAGAATTTTAAAGTTCCCCTTTCCAACATGCCCATACAGCCAATGAAACCACAAATGTGTAAAACTGATGCATGTGCTTTCTTACTCTTCTTCTATTTGCATCGTACATGTGGATATATATGAATGAAACTTCATTTTATCCTGTTCACTAAGCTGGACTATAATTTGATCAATAGGTTTTATTGGACTTATATAAGGTGACTTTATCGATTCTAGTTCAGTTCTTCCCCTTACTTAAACTGAGCGTGCTTGCTGGCTTTTCCCAGAAAAATGGAAAGTTCTTTCGTGCTGACTCTTCTGATTGGGTCCAAACTCAGGACCAGGCAGAGTAATGCAAATTAAAAATGGAAAGGGCTTGGGACCAGCAGTTGGCGTAATGTCTATGTCGCTGGACTCCCATGTAGTCGACCACAGTTCAAGTCCTGAACTCGGTGGCTTAAACTCACACCAGGCACGTGTGCGTGCATGCCCAAGATCCCAAGAGAGTAATGGAGGAGAAGGGATTGCGGAGTGGACATCCCCCCGGGGGGGGTGATTTCTCGCTTTCTGTCTTTCTACTGAGTGCACACGCCCTATAGCAAAAACCTCTCAAAATAAATACATAAATAAATAAAATAAAATAAAATAAGTGGAAAAGGCTAGATAAGTAACTACCAGGTCTTAACAAAGAGTTTGGCTAAACCAAACACAGGGTCTGGGTGACAGAGATGAGAGAAATACTGAAGCCAGGACAAGAGGCTACAAAAGTCCCTATGGAGAGTGAAGACAGCCTTGTTTCTAAAGGTATTGGTAATTTTGCTGGGAAAAGCTGAGAACAGGACTGAAGGTACATCCTTGGAATAGAGTCTTTGCAAGTTCATAAAAGAAGCCAGAAAAAGGACTCCCAATACTAGCTTCTCCACGGATTGGCAGAATCAGAATTAATCCAAAGAACACTGAGGTGCAGGCAGATCCTGCCTTCGGGGAATTTTATTCCTTTTTGTCTTCTTGTATGGAGATGAGAGCAAAAGATGGCCTCATAGCAGACACTGAAAAAAGGACACCATCCAAATCCATCTCAAGAGTACTTTATTTCTGAGAAATACAAAGAAGTGAAAAGGTAAGAGGAGGGAAGGAACGCGCTGGCCATGGCTTCTGTCCTTCTTACTCATCACCACACTCACCTCCATGGCAGGGTTTGCTCTCTGTGGGGCACACAGACTACATGCTGAACCTCTTTCCTGAGCCCCAGCATGGAAGTTGGCAGGGTATGCACCTCTCAACATGAGAGAATACCCCCTGGAAAAAGATTGGAGAAATAAAACCAAGGCCTTTAGAAAATCTCAGTGCACTTCAAATATGGTCCAGATTTATTATGAGTGAATATATAAAAGAGCTTACCTTCAATGTCAAACCAACTGGAGTCTTCCAAGCTTAAAAAAGTCCTTCTCTTTCTTGGCTAGGGCTAGGAAGGGTTGCTGAAATGAGCATATGGAATCTCATCTCCTGAGGATCTGAGATAGATGAGAGCAGCCCAGCCTTGTTGGTGGGGATGGGCTGAAGGGCCTCTGATATCCTCAGACTTGGCTAATTCCCAGAGATAAATTATTAGAGATGTTTTCTTTATTTTTCCTGACGTGACATTTTGACCTCTGCACCTAAATGCACAAAATCCTTTGGCTGATGACCAAATGGCTCTGAAAAATTCAGAGTTTGGGTGCATATGAAATTATCACCATCCTGAGCCATAGAAAAAGAGCACTAAACTCGGAATTCAGGCACGCAGGGGTCCGTGCCAACAGGGACACTAAGTAGAGTTCCTAAGATCAAAGTCTAGTATCCAATAATACCAGGGATCGAAAGAGAGGTGTTAAAATCAGTAAAGCTGTGGACAATGAGGGTAATAAGCTCAAGGCCACTGTCACCAGAGTTGTTAAGTTCATGTCACAAGAGGAGAGTAAGTCTGGATCCAGCTCTGGATCCTCAGGATCCAAATGTCAGCAACTCCAAGATGGAATTGTTAGAACAAATAATGCGCCCAGAGGTAGCACCTGCAGGACTAGGGCAGAACTGGCCACCACTTAGCAAACACTTCTATCTCCTGCAAGGTCTTTACCATCTGTTACCCAGGCTCACCCTGGAGTACCAGTTTACTCAGCTGGCACCCTGGGGTCTGCATGAAGGGTCTAGGAATTCTCAAATGGCTATGGTTCTCCACCTCTGATAGTCATCATGGACTCTTCCACCACATCTCCTTACTTTTGCACTCAAGAAGCACCAGCTCGCAATGCTTCAGGTCGTTAGAAATGTCACGACGTGTTTTTCTATGCAAAAATGCATCATGACTTTTATGGCAACCAAGTATTTGATAAGAGGTGAAATGATGGTTTCATGCTTTCTAATTTGACCACCAATAAGATCAAAGCACTAGAAATCAAATGAGAAAAGGATCCCATAACCATGGCAAGAATGGCCCAGACTCTCATGTGCTGTGCATTGTCGCCTTTCCAGAGATTGCAAACTTCCATCTTTCTTAACATCTTCAGTGCAAAAATGAGGGTACTTCAGAAAGTTCGCAGAAAAATTAAAGTACAAGGGGGTTTTGGGTGCAAATAAAATAAATAAAACTGAAATCCATGTATAGTTTTTCATAATACATATTTTCCATGAACTCTTTGAAGACCCCTCATACTTCATCGGGAAACAACTGTTTAAAAGCAAGTCTTGACCTTGGGTATCTCTCCTTCCTATGCTGCCTTCCGAGAGCTTTTTTTCTCCCATCCCGAAAATCAGCACAGAACAGCCCCGCCTTCCTCCAAACATCTTCTGCACTCAGGAGGCTCTTGTACAGGTTAGTATGAAGGTAAATAAACGGATCAATGCAACGCTCATGATTGTTTTTAGAAAGAAAGCAAGACAGCGTATTTGAATACTCACTTTGACGAGTCTATGAAGTATATTACAAGTGCACCAATGCTGAGAGCAAAGACTAAGACAACCTGCAAAAGAAGAGAAACATGCCATCACTCTAGAGCTGACAGTCAAGCTGTTTATTTCTTTGACACAGGTGCAGACGCTCGGAAACACGGTGCCAACTGCTTTCAGGAAACTCCTTGGAAATCTCGTCCTATTGCTGCTGCCACACACTACACCTTGATGTGGGCTCTCTACCTGGCAGTGGGCAGCAACCTCGCTCCTTGCCAATAGGGGTCAGGGCAGACTTTTATATCCTATGGCACTGGGTTTTTATATGGCCCTCTTATCTCAAGGTTCAGCTTCTCTGCAATTGAACTCAGTAAACTTCAGTTGAAAAAGAGCAGGAAAAAGATGGCAGTGATTCACATTTTCATATTATATGTAATCAAGGACCGAAAGGAACTCGAATACAGGAATATCAGTATTTAACAGCTTTATTGAGGTATAATTTACGTATCATACAATCTACTCATTTTAAGTACAATTTATTGATGAGTTTTAGAGAATGTACTGAGCCATGCAGCCATCACGGTAATCCAATTTTAGAACATTTTCATCATCCCAATAAGATTCCTCATGCTTGTTAAATTAATCCTCATTCCCATTCTCAGTCCCAGACAAGCACTAATCTACTTTGTCTCTATAAGAAATATAAATGGGAAGAGTACAAATTTGCTTGTACAAATGTCCACATGTTTAGACATACATATACATATGCATTTATGTATATATACAGATGCAGAAATAGATATATACATATAATTCTATGAACTGCAATATACTATGTGTGTGTGTATGTGAATGTGTATGTTGGCGGGGGGGGGTGGTTATAACACTTTTCAAGTGTTTAGGAAAACAGTTTAGGTTCAGAAAGCCAAATGAGGTAATGCATTAGGCCAGTGACACGACAATCCTTATCTTTCTCTACATTCTTCACTCACAATTAATCACTATTGATAGAAAAGACGGCTTTGGCATATCCTTCCGTGGATACCTGTCATGCTAAAGCCCATCAGATGAATTTGTAGCAGATGAGGCTGAGACTGACACTTCTGTCTTCCCTCAACATTCTAATTTGTTTATCTAATCTCTCACAGAGGAGACTATTAATGCAAATAAAGGACCATGGAAAATCAAAAGGAAGCTAATAGTCAACAATTAAGCCTGAGAATCAAAAGTAAACACCACTGCCTCCTACCCAGCCAAGGAATACCTTGTAGACGTGCTAAGATGCAAACAGACCACAGATGAAGGGCTCTGGACCCGGCAGTCTCCTCAGAGTATCCACAGACTGTCATCCCTGTGACACTGGCGGGTAGGTATGGATGAATCCTGACTTACATAAAGCCTAAGCATGAAGAAGCATGATGAAGTGTGTGTGTGTGTGTGTGTGTGTGTGTGTGCGCGCGCGCACGCGCACGTGTGCCAAAGCTAGTGGTGGAAAGTGAAATCTGTGTGAAATCCTCATTTCGAACATTGCAGACTCCGCGGAGCTCCCGGGGAGGTGTGGTGGGCTACCCAGGGCAGTAAAGGGCAGTGAAAACCATTGGGCATTGTACAAGGAATATGCCGTATCATAGCAACTGACAAAATCTCCTCACAAACGGGGTACTAAAATAATATACCACTGGGGTTTATTTGATTCTTCCATTTTGTTTTTAAAACTAGCAACCTGCTCCAATTGAATGCCAGGAAACCCTGCAGTCTGTCAGTAACTACCATCCACCCAGTACTCATCTCTCTTGGCCAGCTCAATGCAGTCTCTCCCCTCACACGCATTCATTCATCTATTCCTTGCCATGGTATACACAGAAACAAGCAAACGAACACATAAACAGGCCTCCCCTTTCTATTATCTAATAAAGGAGGCAGCAAAACAAATAGCTTAAGATTAATTTTGAGCCCTGCTGCTATTTCTGAGATATAAGCAGTTAGATCCTGGCCCTGACCTCATTCTCAAAAAGCTGCAAAGAGAAGGGGTGTGGCCAGAACAGAGGGGGAAGGGCCTCCTCTTCATTCATAAACAGCTGATCCAAGACTAATCCCCCTCAACCTGGCTCCCTGTCTGTGAATGCTGGGCTTCTGTCAGGGCTGGCTACATAGGCCGAGGCTACTAAAAGGCCCAGGTGCCAGAAAGGAAAGGAAATGGTATGGACACCCTTCTGTGAGGAGCTCAAGCTCTAAAAGCTCTCCTGCAATGGGGATGATTTCCCAGCATCAGGATGGCCAGATAAAGTAGCTGAAGCTAATTTGTCCCAGCTGCCTCCACTTGGTGTCTGCAGTGGGGAATAATGCGTTGCTTATTTAAGCAAATCAGCCAGTGACTGGAAGAGAGAAGGAACCCTGCTGTCCTCTTAAAATGCAAACCCCAGCTCCAGCACCTTCCCTGCAAGGTTAGGGAGGAGAGAAATCCAGGAAGGTAAGGACCTCCACAGCTCCAAGAGGCTGCGGAGTGGACCTATGCTTGCATCCGCATGTTCAACAGGAAGGCATTTTCTCTCAGTGACCTATGAGGCATCGAACTGTCCCTCCCACCCACCATGATCTGCCGTCCCTGTCTCCCTGAAGAAAATGATCAATGGGGAGAGGATCTGCTTCTCAGTATTAAAATAACCGTGCATGTAATCTTGCTAAATGTCTATTAATCTGTCAGGCTTGATTACATCATCACCCTGGATCCAGGTGCTGCAGAAAACACATCAACTTAATGGACTTGGCCACGAAAATAAGAATCCAACACAATTTGTCTCCTACGGAACCCTAGCAGAGCCTCCCAGAAGAACTAGTTTATGAAAAAGTCTCTCACCCTATTATTGCTTTACCTTTACCTCTCGACAAACCCCTACTGTCTGGGAATCCCACTCTAAATATGAAAAAATATCTTTCCTAAAGCACAATATGATTATATTTTAGTCTTTAAAAAAATATTTGTTTTGTTGCAATTTTCAAGCTGCCTGGTCCAGGACTTGAGAACTGCAGTTGACCACGTGGGAATCCAGTACCTTTACCACACCACCTGCCGGCTCCTAGATTTTAGTCTAATGGTTCTGTCAGCACCCCAAAGAGTCATTTGAGGGATCAGCAATTAGCGTAATGGCGATGTCACTGGATTCCCATGTAGTCGACCACGGTTCAAGTCCCAGACCCAGTAGCTTAAACTCACACCAGGCACTTGTGCGTGCGTGCCCAAGATCCCAAGAGGAGAATGGAGGAGAAGGGATTGCGGTGTGGCCATCCCCCCTGGGGGCTGATTTCTCACTTTCTGTCTCTCTCTGTCTGGCAAGCGCACATGCCCTATAGCAAAAACCTCTCCAAAAAAAAAAAGAGTCATTTGAATATGAGCACTCTTCAAAAAGTTCATGGGAAATGCATATGATGACAAAACAATGCATGGATTTTGAAATAAACTTGTAGTTTTATCTTTTTTTTTTAAATTCCAGAGGGTACATGCACTTGCCAGGAAGCAGCAAAGACATAGAGAGAGAGAGACAGAAGGAGAGGGAGAAAATACCTCCCAGTGGGGCCTGGTCAACCTGCAATCTCTCCTCCATTTCTCCATCCTGTTGGGATTCTGGACATAGACACAGACATGCACTCGGGATTCAAACCCTGGTCGGGGATCCGAATTCCTTAACTACTCAGCCACCAGACTGACCCTCAATTTATACTTTAATTCCATTTTTCCACCAACTTTTTAAAATCTTCTCATATTTATATAACATGCTGCGCTACGAACACATAAACAGGCCTCCCCTTTCTATTATCTAATAAAGGAGGCAGCAAAACAAATAGCTTAAGATTAATTTTGAGCCCTGCTGCTATTTCTGAGATATAAGCAGTTAGATCCTGGCCCTGACCTCATTCTCAAAAAGCTGCAAAGAGAAGGGGTGTGGCCAGAACAGAGGGGGAAGGGCCTCCTCTTCATTCATAAACAGCTGATCCAAGACTAATCCCCCTCAACCTGGCTCCCTGTCTGTGAATGCTGGGCTTCTGTCAGGGCTGGCTACATAGGCCGAGGCTACTAAAAGGCCCAGGTGCCAGAAAGGAAAGGAAATGGTATGGACACCCTTCTGTGAGGAGCTCAAGCTCTAAAAGCTCTCCTGCAATGGGGATGATTTCCCAGCATCAGGATGGCCAGATAAAGTAGCTGAAGCTAATTTGTCCCAGCTGCCTCCACTTGGTGTCTGCAGTGGGGAATAATGCGTTGCTTATTTAAGCAAATCAGCCAGTGACTGGAAGAGAGAAGGAACCCTGCTGTCCTCTTAAAATGCAAACCCCAGCTCCAGCACCTTCCCTGCAAGGTTAGGGAGGAGAGAAATCCAGGAAGGTAAGGACCTCCACAGCTCCAAGAGGCTGCGGAGTGGACCTATGCTTGCATCCGCATGTTCCGCAGGAAGGCATTTTCTCTCAGTGACCTATGAGGCATCGAACTGTCCCTCCCACCCACCATGATCTGCCGTCCCTGTCTCCCTGAAGAAAATGATCAATGGGGAGAGGATCTGCTTCTCAGTATTAAAATAACCGTGCATGTAATCTTGCTAAATGTCTATTAATCTGTCAGGCTTGATTACATCATCACCCTGGATCCAGGTGCTGCAGAAAACACATCAACTTAATGGACTTGGCCACGAAAATAAGAATCCAACACAATTTGTCTCCTACGGAACCCTAGCAGAGCCTCCCAGAAGAACTAGTTTATGAAAAAGTCTCTCACCCTATTATTGCTTTACCTTTACCTCTCGACAAACCCCTACTGTCTGGGAATCCCACTCTAAATATGAAAAAATATCTTTCCTAAAGCACAATATGATTATATTTTAGTCTTTAAAAAAATATTTGTTTTGTTGCAATTTTCAAGCTGCCTGGTCCAGGACTTGAGAACTGCAGTTGACCACGTGGGAATCCAGTACCTTTACCACACCACCTGCCGGCTCCTAGATTTTAGTCTAATGGTTCTGTCAGCACCCCAAAGAGTCATTTGAGGGATCAGCAATTAGCGTAATGGCGATGTCACTGGATTCCC